GAGAGAGAGAGAGAGAGAGAGAGAGAGAGAGTTGCAAAGAAAAGCAAATGTGTATATATTTAGCAAAAGGAAATTCAAATCAATAATAGTTATGATATAAAAATTCATATTCCTATGCATTCATTGTATGATTCTTAACATGACTTTCATGTTGTGTTACATAAAGAGCTTTGAATTATTAATTATATTTTTATTGACTAAAAATCGATTTGTATTCAAAATATACGCACAAAATAAAACATTTTGTTTCAAAGATTTAATTAAATAACAAAAAAAGTTATTGATTTAAACAAACAATTCGTAAAATATTAAACGCTATCATATTTTTTCTAATGAATAACTTTTTTTAACGACATTTTCATTGAGTTAATAGCAATAAACAAATGAAATTTTTCATAATTTAAATCATTTATCACTCATTTATAACTCTTTGCCCTTAAAAATGTGGTTCAAATTGATTTCTTTAATCAATGCAATTGAATGAAAGGCTGAATGTAAAAAACATGAGACGATAACATTAGAGTTGGAGTTTGTATTCAGTTTTTTTTATTTATTAATAAAAGATAACTTTTTATTAAAATAAAACATCCGATAAATAATTTATTGTAAATATTATAGCAATTAGAAAATCAGTTAATGAAAATGCAATGAATATATAGATGTTATAAGAATTAAGCGGGCATTCAGTCGATAACATTAGCACAGAATATGAATTGTTTTAAATTTATCAAACGTGTCAACACTTGTATGATATAAAATACATCACAAGAAATCGCACCCATAGTCGGCAATACGGGAAATGTTGTTTCGCTAAACATAACCCCTTAGAAAATGCATAACAAATTCAATTTTCATGTTTTACTCGTCGTATAAATCATTAATGTATCGGAAAAGACTGAAAATATATGAAATGTGCGAAATATGTGTCAAAATGTAATAATAAACAATAAATTAGAAAAAACATTTATAGTCTCTTAAATTTAATGTTTTATAATTATAAATAATAAAATCAATAATAAGTTTTAATAAAAATGTAACTCTAAATTGCATTCATAGTAAATCTGATTAATTATATAGTGATATAATAATAGTTATAAAAGTCAAACACAAGATTCATTTGGGGTCAACGAAAACAAATACAAATCAATTATAAATATACAATTCATTGATAGCAGTGTTTGTGTTTGTTTTCAATTGCTTTGTGAGTATAAATCAAATCATATTTTTGTTACTCATTTTGAATTGTAATCAAATTACTTTTTTCAATATTTAATAATCAGTTATCGAGAGATTGTATTAATTGATAATATGTTTGAACGAGATATAAGTTATTTCATAGGCAAAGCTTTTGCTTCGGTTTGCAAATTATAAAACAGTTATAATAATAATAATTATAATCAAAGAAATTTCTCAAAAAATTATCACTTTTTGTTATGAGAAAAAAGCGAACATTTTTTTACTAATGGGTTTAGGTATCTATGAGATGAAAATCACGACTCGTGCCGAACCGTAGACCTATTCGTGTGATTATTAACTAATTTTGTCGTCGAATTAACGTTATTAATAGATTGGGTGTTAATCTTTGTGCCGCCATTTGAATAGTTCTTATGGTTTCCGTTCGCCAATTCATCCGACGAGTGATTCAATGAATCCACACTCGACTCCGACTCGTCATCCGATCGCAAATCTTTAATCTAAAAAACAACAAATAAAACCAATAAGACATTAATAAACCACAAAAAACACATTAAAGTAAATGAATGTAAAAACGATTAATCATTGAAAATAGAGGAAATGAAAAGTAGAGTAATTGCGAGGTATGGGAGGAGAGGAAGGGAGAGTCAGAGAGAGAGAGAGAGAGAGAAAGAAAGTGAGAGAGCTTAAGGGAAAGTGAGAGATGTGTCGGATGACTGACTCCGTTGTTTTTGACGGCATGGATGGCGATCCTCACTATAAACCAGGTCCACACTATGTGTAAGGCTTGCAGAGCGCACAACAGGCCGTTGAATATATAGTATGCGGCGAACATCGGCACCACTGACAGCGCTTTGTACAGCGAGAAGTATAGTATGCGATACGGCAATAGACCGATACGGGAGACCACCCAACACAGGGTGAACACCACGAATATGCCGTCAGCCAAACGCTGTTTCTTCACGTATGTCATCATTTTTGCGCCCTTTTATAACACAATCGACACAAACAACTTATGGTTAGCATTCATCGCACAATTCATTAAGTAAGCCATTCATTACCTCCAGAGGTATGTCCGCGAAGTCATGGATTAGGAGGACGAGTGTTCCCATTCTGACCAGATTACAGGCCCACGAAAAGCCTAATAAACATAGAGTGACCACGTGGTGCACAAACATCGCCCAAAAGTCCTGGTGGTAACAAATCATGTCAATTCAAAAAACCATTATTTCAATCATTTTATCACAAAAATAACTCACTTTTCTTTGGACATCAAAAAATTGAGAGAAAAGTAATGCCAAATAGAAAGCGGTTTCAAAGTTATAATAAAACCATTCGCCGCTCGAAATAGACTATAAGTTTCAATAAGAAAACATATAAATGACAGAAAAAAGTTAATTAATAAATCGATTAATGAAAGGCAATCGTAAGAGTAATTACGTGATGCGGATAATCGATGAAACAGTACATCGAGTCCCACATCCATGGCTTCTGCAAAGTCGGCAATCAAAACATAATCGCAAACATAATAATACAAAACAAAAAATCAATAAATTTGTTTCACAATCAATTCATACGATAACGGATATTATGAAAGCCTATGGCATTGACTTACGTCCCAAAGAACATAAACGCCGTAAACAAATGATGCAAAATAGAAATTACATCTCCATCTGAAACATAAGACAATCACTTATTAGACAATTGACAAAATCAATAATTACTTATTGAAAAATTCCGTCTCATGTTTAAACTAATCTCTCATAGACTTTATCATAAGATTCAAGTGTCATATTTGTACTCAATATTTATAAATAATTATATCATTATTTAATACAAATCATTACTTAATAAAAAAATAATTAAATCTTTTCACCAAATCTGGTATCGATTTATAATTAACAGATTGTTTTTCATATACAGAAAGACTTATAATATCCTCATTATTATAATTGAAAAGCAAAACAAAATTGTTTACCAAAAAACATGTAATAAATAACATTAATGTGAAAATATATTTCATGAGACGATAGAAATGCAATGAATTGTGCGTTAATTCTGGAGGTTTTATGTATTTATTAATATAATATATGAATTCATAAATACATGTAATATATCTATGAATACATGAATACATACGCGCTTTCAGTGAACTTCGAGAGGACTGTCGGCCTATTGTGTGCACTCATGAGGCGCACCCATCTCTGCACCTGCCGTTCACTCCAATCCAATTGTTTGGCTAATCCCTGGATCTATTCGCACAACACATATCATAATTCAGTTAAATTAAAATAAATAGTAAAATGGAGGGCCAGAGGGGGGTCGACCGGTGCCCACAAAACGCATACCTGTTTGTGACTAAACCTTCCCTTTGAGGCGCGAAAAGCGGTCTCCAAAACCGCGTTATTGGGCGGACTCTTGCCGTGATTTGGCCGCAGACCTAAGTATACGCCAATCGGTGTATAGATATACCTATCGATCGGTACAAAAATTAAACAAAAAATACATTTTTAACAAAACAGTAAACAAAATAACAGTTTGTTTGAAACGAAAGGGAAAACGCAGCGAAAAAAGAGGTGAAAACTAAGGCTCGACGTGAATGGTATGACTGACATAAATGGTGTGATGGTATGTATGGTATGTATGACTGATTGCATGTGTTATATACCTCTCGAGTGCGAGTCTAAGACAGATGAGGAGGACTGCGGTGAAGAGCGAATAGTAGATGTCGTTGAAGTGTCTGTAGTTGTCTTCGTACTCATGCCATGTGGTGTTGGGAGGGATCCACACCTTCTCCGACCAAAACACACGCGACAACGACTTCGCGTATTCAACCGATGACCACATCATTGGATTCGCCGGCGAAGACACTCAACGCTAACACACCATTCAATACACACCACAACCTCAAGAGTTGTGTAAAATTAATGTCAATTCAAATCAAACACTCATTTATTGAATAATCAAACAGTGATTCAGTTTTTTTTTCACTGCATTTGAGAAATCACTGCACTATTAGTGTTGCCGTTGAGTGAAGTCTATGGGAGTCTATGCCATACACTCTCACTGAATGCGCGCAACCAATACCAGAGACCTCTATAGCGCACAACATTTCCTCGCATTACACACACACCGCCACAACACAGCGCATGCGTGCCGTACATCTACAGGGAAACACCTCTACAGGCAATGTATAAGTACAGTGTACTGTATGTACAGCGAGTGTGCGGTGTGTTATTGGCCGCACTGTCATATCGGATGATATCATATGAATCATGCAATTAATTAAAATACATTGAATTCAAAACCAGAGCTAATGTTCGCTTCACTGCCCGACAATCGCAGCCCTCACTACTTAACACACATACACTATACACACCCACATAACCCCTCCCAACCTCTCACCCCCTGTCACCACACCTTTCAATACAGTGTAGTTATTAGAAAACTTATTGATTTGAATGCTAGTCTATCATAGTTTTTCAAACTCGTTCATATTGTATGCATTGAATTTCACTTTTACCATGAATTTGCAAAGCAGGCGAAAGTATTGTGTATAAGTAGTATGTAATTGAATGGGCCGGTATGGTAGCCTCGGTAGCGCAGTAGGTAGCGCGTAAGTCTCATAATCTTAAGGTCGTGAGTTCGATCCTCACCCGGGGCACACCACAACTACCTTTTTGTTTTTACGCACCTTGTACAATTAGTAATGCAGGCAATTATTATCATATTTTTCTATTGTCTTAATGTTTGGTTGAATTGAATATTTATTGAATGGCGAATATTCTGTGTTTTGTATAATATTTTCATATCATCTATAAGTTGTTGAATATTATTAATTAATAATTATTAACACTTTATTAAGTGTTTTATAAATATTTTTATTGAATTATTTTCTGCACACAATTTGTGTTCAGAAAACAATTTTTGATAGATTTGTCAAAACAGTTGCGATGAATGCAAAATATTGATCTCGTTTTTTCAATTAATTCATTCATGTATTTATTAATCATAATTCAGGAAAAATATGTAAAGTTGTTTGAAAATGTTTATTTGTAAATGAAGTGGTATTTTAATTGCTTTTGAACACAATTTTTGTTGTGCTATTAATCGCAAACATTTCTTTGGCATAAAAACTAATTTTATCGAAAAGCTATTCAACGCAAAAAATATGCTAACATTTACTTTAAGTATACGATTGTATTGAATATTTTATAAACCAAATCATTATTTTAATGACATTCTGGTCATTGATTTTGCAATCATTTTTGAAGGAGAAAACCGAGTCTTTAAACAAAATACATGTTTTGCAGACAATTTTATGCGAAATGAAAACACAAATATTTGTTTAAGAATTTTGGTTTTTTCGTATATAAAATAAATTTTAATTTGTGCGAAATTGTTAGATGATTATTTCACTCATTATTTCCATTGAATTCATTTCCTTATAAACATCATCCGATTATCAAAAATAAAAACTAATTAAAATTCATTACATATTCTTTCAGTTTTGTACTCAAAATTCCTACACATGTAAGAAAGTTTTGCATTACATGTACTATTGTTTGACATTTGAATTTAGACAAAGTATCTGTGATTCACTTAAGATATAAATTAATAGTTTTAAGTTTTATTTATTTAGTTGTTTGCATAATATTATTAGGTATCGATCGTAAGATAAATATCACTATTGTCTCAATTTAGGGAAAATTATGGGTTTTTGGTTTTTATTACATATTATTCCTTGAATTTTATTGTTTATTTTCATGACATATAGTCTTAACATTACATAACAAGTAATAAATAACAGTTTTAAACAACTTTCGATCACAAGAAGCAATCAAAATGTATAAAAATTTATATCAAACAAATTACATTAAATTATAATTACAACCAATTGTTTTCCTTTTTGTTAACAATTAGTTTAGCACTTAATTTATAAATGACTTACAAATGAATGAAATATATGCAAATCCAAAGCTCATTGTAAAACATTGTGGTTAACTCACAAGAGATGAAAAGTTTTTTATACAAAAAATTGAAACAAAAGTCCATTTTAGGCCTTATGTTCTCATAATATGCCGTAATATTTAGTGTTTAGCATTCATTGTCATTGATATCATTAATAAATTCAGTTTTACTCAAATAAACCTTGATTTCAAGGTTTGGCTCCCAATATCAAGAGCTCTGATTGTTGTCGTCGACCAGAGTATCGACCGATTGATTGCCGAACTCGTCTTCGATCTCAATCCGGACATCACTTCTCGTCGAGTCTTTGCTTTTACTTCTTTGAATGTCAACCAGTTTTCTGGTCTTTTCTTCGCGACTCATGCGATGAGCGCTTGTATTTGTGGCATAACTCGTGCCACTAGTAGTGGTCGTTGCGACCGATTGTCTGTCAATGCTCTCAATGTCTATGTTTTGTTCATCGATCGGTACAATACATATCCTATTGCTGTCGGTTTGCGATATGATTGTGCCTTCAAATTCAATTTGAATGATTTCTTCGCTTCGTTTTTGTTTCACTAATTTTCTCTCAATTTCTCTCTCTTTAGATCTCAATCTCTTGTCGTCTCTGTCTTTGTGTTTCTTCGAGTCTTTATCCGATTTATCGCTTTTTTCTCGCGATTTTTCCCTTTCGTCCGACTTTTTCTCTGTTTTCGACGACTTTTTACTTTTTTCAGGTTTTGTTTTCATGTCGTCTCTCTCTTTCCTCTCTTTCGTTGCCTTTTCTTCGGCTTTTGAATCGCTTTTGTGTTTTGATTCTTTAGTTTTATGTTTTGATTCTTTTTCATCCGTTTTGTCTAACTTTTGACTCTTTTCCCTATCCTTAGGCCTCTCTTTCTTTTCCCTATCCTTTGACTTCTCTTTCGATTCCTTCTCTTTATCTCTCGTTTTCCTATGTTTTTCATCACTAGTTTTTTCTGACGATTTTACCGATTCATTAATATCCCGTTCAATGTTTTCTTTTACTATTTTGTTTATCTTCTCTTCATTTGTCTTCAATTCAATGCTTTCACTACTCATAACTTTTTTGTCGACAGTTTTGTCTTTTTCGTCAATTTTTTCATCAATTTTTGTTTCATTTTCATCTTTTGATTTACTTTTGGTATCTTTTTGTTTATTTTTACTTTCTTTTGCTTTAATTGCTTTTTCTTTCTCCTCTTTTTCTCTCAATTTCTTCTCTTCTTTCTCTTTCTTAAGTCTTTCTTCTAATTCTTTTTTCTCCTCTTTTTCTCTCAACTTTTTCTCCTCTTTGAGTCGTTTGTCTTCCCTTTCCTTTTCCTTCTTCTCCTTCTCCTTCTGTTTTCTCTCCTCTTTTTCCATCGATTTCTTGTCTTTAGAACTCATTTTTTCGATGTCTTCCTTCACATCAATACCTGACTTCTCGTCTTCACTCAACTCACTCTTCTGGACCTCCGATTCTGTAGTCTTTAAGCAATTTTCAATCACTTCTTCAACGTTTCCGTTCACTTCAATACTGATTTCGTTATTTGGTTTTTCGGTGTCTTTTCTCCCAATTTTTTCTCGTTTTGCTTTAATTTTTGTCTCTTCTTTCAATAATTTTTCTTCAATCTCTCGTCTCTTCTTCTCGAACTTCTCGGCCTTTTCTTTCTCTTTCTTTTCCTGCTTTTCCTCCAATTCTTTCTGTTTTTCTTCCTTTTGTTTTTGTTTTCTTTCAATTTTCTCTCTTTTATCCCTTTCTTTCTTGGATTCAAATCCCATTAAAATCGTAAATTGATCTGAAATTACTGTTGATATAAAAATACATTAAACATAATTCAATTATACATTAATTATCTTTCATATTTGTCTCTTAAATACACGTATGAATAAAAACAATTTTATAGTGTATTAAGAATGTAAAACACGCTAATGACTGGCAAAATGTCCACTAAAACGCCAAATAATATAAAAATGAACAGGGTTATTTATATTTAAATATATATCTATATTAAAAGTTTAAGAAATAAATACCATTAAAAGATGAGCCGTCAATCTTCGCGCTGTCGACAGTTTTGTCGATTTCAGTCATACGGATCTCGTCTTCGACCTTCTTCTCTGCGTCCATCTGTTTCCTGAGCGCTCTGTCGGCTTCGCTCAGGCCTTCGTTGTCGTCGTATTTGGCGCTCGCGTTCTCGTCCTCTATGGAGGAACTGGTCGTCATTTCCCTCTCCATCGCAAACATAGCCCTCAACTTCTGTCTCCACGAAGGCTTTCCCGCTTCAAACGACACCTGTTTGTTCATACGAGTCGTTTCCAACTTCTCCACTCTTTGAAGCACTTTTCAAACAAATTATATTTAAGTTACTTTACATCGAAAGTTACTTTTGAACTTAATTTTAAGCTCATCTACTATTAGTTGTGATTAAATTAATATTATAAAAGTGAACATAAATAGAAAATACAGTAATGTACCTGGAAGCAAATTGGTTGGCTGTGCCTCTAAGTCTTCAATTTTAATTTTGTTTAAATGATTTCTAAACACTTTCGTAATCCTTCTCCGGACAAAATCGGCTTCAATTTCCTGTTTAGTTCGCGGTATTCGACACCGGAATAGACAGCACAACACAATCACTTGTAATTGAAAACATCATTATTAAGGTTATTATAACTTGAATTAATTATTATAAGAAATGCATTAAACCTATGGCCAGCCCTGAGAAAAGTCCGGAGAAGATGACGTGCCACACCTTAAACACGCCGATAAGTGTCTGCTCGAGCCACGGCTCCTCTGGGGTCGTGTCCTTTGGCAGGTCCTCACACGGAGGTAACTGTCGGACAAAGATTTCAAACATTTAATCGCCTTTAATACTAATCAAGTATTTTTTATTCTTATGAATTCATTAAATATTGACAATAACAAAAATTTCAAACCCGTGTTGTGTTTTGTTGAGCAAAACACCGGTGGTTAACGACAATCAAATGATAAACAAAGAATATTCTGCAAACAATTTTCTTATTATGAATCATAATTGAGAATATAATTGTGTGACAATTATTGTTATTATTATTAATAAGTGTTGAATAGGTATTAAATCGATGGCAACGAAGTATTAATTGATTTGAAAGGACGACAATAAGCATTATGTCATACGAGTTAACAATAGAGAGACATTTGATGATTATATTGAAGTGGAGGAAGGCTTGGATTTGCAGAAGAGATGGGCGGACCGACAAACACACAGTCGGCCATCAATTGGCCATTTGGTATATAATTTAGTGGTTTTAATAAAAATTTATTTTTTGTAACCAAAATATATACATCAAAAGTAATTAAATTTTTCAATTATAAATATCTTTTATGAAAGAATATAATTTTAAAAAATCATTTAGTAATTGAATGAAATGAGAATAATGTATACAATAATACATTAATTTAAATTAAATATTATTCTTTACTATAGGAAACATAATATTATGAATGTATTTAGTGGTAGAATATTCTGTTGGAAAAAGTAAGAGTAATTTTAACACCAATTTTGTGTTTACACACAAGAACTCACAGAATTAATAAAAATAATGTTTTTTTTGTGACAACATTGTAGTGAAATTGCATGACTCGTGCGGAGGACTGGCGTCTAAATGCAGATGTTATAGGAGTAGAGGCTAACCATAAGGATCACCGTTGATGTGCTGAAGACTGTGTGCACTCCACCCAAATCTATTCATTAATTATTTAATATTACTTTTAGCTGTTTGTATACATGGAAGAGAGAGAGAGAGAGAGAGAGA